CTGAAGCAAGCACTATAAATTGTAGTGGTAGATTGTAATCAATATGGTGTATTTGCATTTCTTCTAAGGCATGCTCTGCTTTTCTAAGAGCCAATTGTGCCTCTGGGGTCAATTGACAAGGTGAGGAGGGGTCAGAATCCCCCTTCAATAGTTCAAAAAGAGGCTTGAGCTCTCCCGTGGGCAGGGAGAAGGATGGTCGGAGCCATTGGAGTTCTCCCAAAAACTGTTGCCACTGGTGTAGAGTCTTTAAATGAGAGGTGGCAAACTATATTTTTTGAGGCACTATTCCCACCGTGTTAATGGTGTATCCTAAATATCTGTATGGGTGGGAGAGCTGTACCTTGTCCGGGGAGATTACAAGGCCTGCTGATTCCAGGGCGACCCGGACATGATCATAGAGTTGAAGTAACAGGTCTTTGGTGGGGCAGGCGGCTAAGATGCCATCCATATAATGAATCCAAAGTGCACTGGGGAAACGAGCCCGGACTGGCGCTAAAACCGCTGAAACATATATCTGACACATAGTGGGACTATTAGTCATGCCCTGGGGAAGGACTACCCATTGCTAGCACTGATAGGGCTCCTGAAAATTGGGGGAAGGTAGAGAGAAGGCAAATCTTTGACAATCTTTAGGAGCTAATGGAATATTGAAAAAACAATCTTTAAGATCTATCACTAACAATTACCAGGACTTTGGTATAGCGGAGGGATGGGGGAGCCCTGGCTGCAGGGCCCCCATTGGATGCATGGTGGCATTGACTGCTCTGAGATCTTGCAATAATCTCCACCCGCCTGTCCTTTTCCTTATAACAAAGATTGGGGTATTCCAGGGAGATGTGGATGGGGTAATGTGCCCCTTTTCTAATTGCTCAGACACTAGGGCATGTGCGGCCTGTAATTTCTCTTTAGGTAGGGGCCACTGCTCCACCCAGACTGGATCATCTGATTTCCAGGTAAATGGGGTGGGAGGCTGCTCGACAGTGGCCCTGATTAAAAAGGGCTAGTTTCTTCCAGTTCCTCAATGTGCATTAAAGTCACGGGATTTTCCTGCCCGGAGGATGGGCAGTCACTAGTGATATGGGCTATGGTCTTAAAGGAGACTGGCGATATCTGCGAGCGACTGGGTGATGTAACCAGAACCATGCCCATAGCTGAGAGTATATCTTGTCCCCAAAGATTGGTGGGGAGGTCTGGGACAATATAAGGCTGGAACTGGCCCTTATGGCCCTCGGCGTCCTCCCAGGTCAATACTTGGGCGCTACGGCTGGGTCGGACTTGGCCAAGTCCTTGCAAAACGGCTGTAGCCATTGTGGCAGGCCAGTTGGCAGGCCAATATTTACTGGATATGACTGAGACATCCGCCCCAGTATCTAATAGCCCAGAGAATTCCTTTGAGTTGATTCTTAGCGCATAGCGTGGTCTGGAAGCCATATGGGCAATCCAAAATATTTGGGCTGGATTATCTGAGCAGTCTTCGTTTGTCTGACCCTGGACCGAGAGCGTCGAGGTGGGGTCTTGCCACATCGGGAGGAGGAGTAGGCGTGCAATCAGCTGTCCCTTTTCTATCGTCACAATGCCACGGGGGGAATCTGCCAAGACATGAATTTGTCCTATGTAGCTCTCTGTGATAGATCCTGGGTATATCTGCAATCCTTGCAGGAGAGCCTTTTCTGACCCTAGAATGAGGCCAGTGGTTCCGGGTGGTAGGGGGCCATAGACCCCCGTCTCCAAACTTTCAATTCCCATAGATGGTGTTAGTACCGCCCGGACAGAGGCATAAAGGTCTAGACCTGAGCTGGGAATTGAGGAGCCCCTGACAGAGGGAGGGAAGCTATCTGGAGTGGGCTGATACTTTGACCGGATGTCTGATAGGCCTCCTGCCTGAAGGCTTGCAGGGCCCGAGGCAGGCCCCTCCCGCCGTTTCCCTGTGGCAGTGGATTGCCTAAGTTATTCGGTCGGGAGCTACACTCGGCTGCCCAGTGATTGCCTCTCTTGCATCTGGGACATAGCCCGGGTGATCCCCCCTTCTTCCTCAAGGGGTTGTTGGGACATTCCTTTTTGAAATGGCCTGGCTGTCCGCATTGATAGCAGCCTTGCTTGGGGTTTTGTGGGGAATCCCTGAAAGCCCAGAAACCTGGGAAGTTGCCCAGCTTTGAGCAGGACAAAGGGGGAATGAAAAATCAAGCATTCTTTTACTTGGTCAGTAGGCAACAGTTAAAGAAACTTTGGTATATCTACACAATGGAATACTAAGCAGCTGTTAGAAAGGATGAATTCATGAAATTTACATACAAGTGGTACTACATGGAAAGTACCATGCTAAGTGAAATGAGTCGGAAAGAGAGGGACAGACATAGAAAGACTGCATTCATCTGTAGAATATAAAGTAACAAAATAGGAGACTAACACCCAAGAATAGTCGAGATAAGTACCAGGAGGTTTGCTCCATGGCTTGGAGGTCAGCCACACATGCTGGAAGAAAAGGCAGCTCAGATAGGGAAGGGTGTTGGGAGGGTCCTGCCTAGATGGGAGAAGCATGCTGAAAGTAGACTATAGACCAAACATGAATGCCACTCAATGCCTCTTTTGCAAACCACAGCACCCAAAAGGAGAGAGAGAACAAAAGGGAATGCCCTGCCACAGAGCCAGAGTGGGATGGGGGGAATGGGGGGTGGGAAGGATACTGGGATCCGTGGTGGTGGAGAATGGGCACTAGTGGAGGGATGGGTCTCGATCATTGTATAACTGAAATCCAAACACAAAAATTTGTAAGTCTATAACTGTACCTTATGGTGTTTCACTAATAAAAATTTTTTAAAAAAGGCTGGCCTGGGTGGAGAGGTGGGTGGGCGGGTGTTGGGAGGGAAACTGGAAACATTGGAGGTGGGAAATGTACATTGGTGGAGGGATGGGTGAACAATGATGACTGAAGCCTAATCATGAACAGCTTTGTAAGGGTCTATCTCAGATCCATTCAATGAAAAAAAAGTTTAATAGGAGAATGGCTTATATTTGGATTTATAGAATTAGATGTGTAGTACATTTTCTGAGGTGAAATCCAGAGCTCAGCTGAGGCACTGGGATCTTTATAGAATTGGGGAGATGTGATGCTGGACTTGAGTTTGGAGACAGTGCATGATGAGTAGATCGTTGATTTAAATGTGTCCTGCTTTGAGCACCATTCAACATGTCATTACTTAATCTCTTTTTTAAAAATGATTATTTCATTTACTTTAAGGGGAAACTCTGTATGGGCATTTATAAATGGCAAACAAATTTCATTTGCATTAGATATGGAAGTGGGAAAATGCTGCAGGGAACCTGCAGAGGCCTCTCGGGGTACAGAGATGGGGGTGAGGGACAGGCCCAAGGGACCTTCCCGAGTGGCAGTTTGTGATTGACAGGTACAGGCAGTTACTGGCCTTTAGAAGTTAGGGGGAGTGGTCAGCTCTTTCAGCCCACATGCTCTTTTGAACACGTCCTCCCTTCACATCTCACTGAGTAAGTTTTTTTCAAGAAAACTATCTTGCAGGATTGGAGGGGTGGTCCAGAGGGAAGGGCTTTTGCCTTGTGGACCAGCCAATTCAGATGTGACCCCGGGCACCGCATATGACCCCTGAAACCCCACCAGGAGTCGTCCCTGAGTACAGAGCTAGGAGTAAGGCCTGAGCAACACTGGGTATGTCCCTCCAAAAATGTCCAAGTATAGCAAAAAGAGAGCGGGGGAGAGTTAGAGGGGTGGTTCTGATTGCAGTGGAACTCACTGAAGCATTTGGGAAATTCACACGCACCATTGTAAACCGGTATTCCTTTCGGGATGCAGTGTAGAAAAATCAACGGAAAGTTAAAATTTTTATTTTGAAAAAGATCAAAGAGGCCAGGAAATAGTAGAGCAGGAAGGGCACTTGGGTTATCTGACTTCAATCTCTGGCGCCCCATAGAATCCCTTGAGCATGGCTGGGACTGATCCCTGCTGTGGTTCCAAAACCAAATAAGCAAAAAAACAAGGAAATGTAATATATCAAAAGCTAGAACAGGTGGTGAGGAGTCTGCTTGCATACTTCTATCCTGGGCTGATTCCTGGCACCTCGTATGGATCCTTGAGCTCCATTAGGGGTGATCCCTGAGCACAGGACAGGAGACAGGGTCCCCAGTCAAGGGAGGTCTCATCTCTTAGGCCCCTGGAGCAAGACCATGGGGGCCTGTGCAGGGCACAGATTGCCCAGGCGCTGCCAGCCTTGGGCCTGGGAGTCGGTGCTTGACCTCCACATCCCTGGACCAAGAGTAGGATGCCCTGGCTGCCTGTCCTCACTCCCAGCCTTGCGCCCACAGGTGGGACTGCAGGACAAACAGGTGAGTGTCCGCGGCAGCAACAGGACTAGGATCTCGGCCTCCCGCAGTAGGACGTGGCCTCTGACCAGTGTCGGTCTCTGAGAATGAGCAGGAGGAGGAGCAGGTGCTACTGCAGAGCCAGCTCCAGATCGGCTGCAAGGGGAGTGAATCAGGACAAGGTGGATATGGAGAAATGACAGAAGGTGCCGGGGGAGACCCACTGTGAGGGTAGGAGCCTGCCAGGGGTGGTGGGAGGAAGGACAGGCCAGGACGCCACCTACTATAATATATCAAAATCTAGAAGAGGCTAGAGGGGTTTTGGGGGTGCGGATTGGCCCTCACTGCACAGAGAGGGTCCTAGTAGCGGGAAGGCTGCTGGGTCGAGGTAGGGGTAGGCCCCATCTCTTAGGACTTTGGAGAAAGACCCCCAGGGGAATGTGCAGGGGACAGGTTACCTGATGTGCTGTTTTCCTTGGGCCTGTGTGTGAGTGTCTGGGCCCTGAATGTTGTGGTGGGATCTAGACAGCCTTCGGCCCTGTCTCATGACAGAAATGTGCATGCAAGAACAGAAGGTGCAGTGCCTGCAGCCTGGAATGCTTCTGCTGGTATCAAAAGCAGCACACAGCTGGAACCCCACACCTGGATGTCCCACTCACCTGGGCTCCAAGGTCGAGCAGGTTCTGAGGCACAAGCCGCTCATGGACCAGCTGCAGCAGGTGCTAACCAAGCAGCAGGCCCTGCTAGAGGCCACCTTCCGGGAGCTGAGGGAAACCCAGGTGAGGGGATGGGCAGGGGCTCAGGGACAGGAAGGCGCATCAGGCCCTAGACCTGCCTACTCACCTGGGTCTTCATCTTTAGGGGATCCTCAGTCCTGAAATCAGGAGCAACTGAGCCCCAGGCCTTTCTGGAAATCCAAGGGTACCCTGAAGAGGGTGAGTGGTGTGGTGGGTCACCAGGAGGGAGAAGTTCCTGATGGGGATCTGGAGGTAGGGCTATATGGGAGGTAGAGCCAGGCGGGACCCCTGAGATGCCTCCACCTTCCTTGCTTGGCTGAGACCCTGGAGTGCCCCATAGTCAATCCAGTGTCGAAGAACACGGAGTTGGAGGTGAACATAGTGGAGGTTTGTGAGACCATGACCTTTATGGAACTCGAGGTGATGGTCATGGAGGACAGGCTGGTGGCGTGTGAGAAGACTAAGGATCTGGATGACTAAGGTCTGAGACTAAGGTCTGGTGTCCAGACCTGGGGAGCGGGATGATGGATTCATGAAATTTACATACAAGTGGTACTACATGGAAAGTACCATGCTAAGTGAAATGAGTCGGAAAGAGAGGGACAGACATAGAAAGACTGCATTCATCTGTAGAATATAAAGTAACAAAATAGGAGACTAACACCCAAGAATAGTCGAGATAAGTACCAGGAGGTTTGCTCCATGGCTTGGAGGTCAGCCACACATGCTGGAAGAAAAGGCAGCTCAGATAGGGAAGGGAGCACCAAGTAAAGGGTGTTGGGAGGGTCCTGCCTAGATGGGAGAAGCATGCTGAAAGTAGACTATAGACCAAACATGAATGCCACTCAATGCCTCTTTTGCAAACCACAGCACCCAAAAGGAGAGAGAGAACAAAAGGGAATGCCCTGCCACAGAGCCAGAGTGGGATGGGGGGAATGGGGGGTGGGAAGGATACTGGGATCCGTGGTGGTGGAGAATGGGCACTAGTGGAGGGATGGGTCTCGATCATTGTATAACTGAAATCCAAACACAAAAATTTGTAAGTCTATAACTGTACCTTATGGTGTTTCACTAATAAAAATTTTTTTTTTTTTTTTTTTTTTTTTTTTTTTTTCCCCTTTATTTTATTTTATTTTTTTTAAAGTTGTAGATTTACAATTTTTTGTGCTTTGGTTTCAATTATACAATGATCAGATACCCATCCCTCCACCAGTGCCCATTTTCCACCACCATGGATAATATCCCTCCCACCCCCATCCCCCCATCCCCCCGTCTCTGTGGCAGGGCAATCCCCTGTGTTCTCTCTCTCCTTTTGGGTGTTGTGGTCTGCAAAAGAGGAATTGAGTGGCAAACATGTTCAGTCCATAGTCTACTTTCGACATGCATCTCCCCTCCTGGGAGGATCCTCCAAACATCCTTTATTTGGTGCTCCCTTCTCTATCTGAATAGCCCTTTCCTCTAGGATACCCGGCTGGCCTCTAAGTTATGGAGTAATCCTCCTGGTGCTGATCTCAGCTATTCTTGGGTATTAATCTCATACTTTGTTACTTTATATCCCCCAGATGAATGCAATCTTTCTATGTCTATCCCTCTCTTTCTGACTCATTTCGCTTAGCATGATACTTTCCATATTGTACCACTTGTATGTAAATTTCATGACTTCATCTTTTCTAAGAGCTACATAGTACTCCATTGTGTAGATGTACCAAAGTTTCTTTAACCAGTCATCTGTTCTTGGGCATTCAGGTTTCTTCCAGTTTCTGGCTATTGTAAAGAGGGCTGCAATGAACAAACAAGTGCAGATGTCACTTCGACTATACATTTTTGCCTCTCTGGGATATATTCCCAGGAGATAAAAAGCATATGATCATATCAATAGATGCAGAGAAAGCATTTGATAAGATCCAGCACCCCTTTATGATGAAAACCCTAGCCAAAATGGGTATAGAGGGGACCTTCCTCAACATAATTAAAGCCATCTACCACAAGCCTACAGCAAGCATCATCCTCAATGGGGAAAAACTGAGAGCCTTCCCTCTAAGATCAGGGACGAGACAGGGATGCCCACTCTCTCCACTGCTGTTCAATATAGTACTGGAAGTACTTGCAATAGCGATTAGGCAGGAAAAAGATATTAAGGGCATTCAGGTAGGAAAGGAAGAAATCAAGCTCTCACTATTCGCAGATGATATGATACTCTACTTAGAGAACCCAATAACTTCCACCAAAAAACTCTTAGAAACAATAGACTCGTATAGTAAAGTTGCAGGTTATAAAATCAATACCCAAAAGTCCATGGCTTTCCTATACGCAAACAGTGAGAGAGAAGAAAGCAACATGAAAAAAACAATCCCATTCACAATTGTGCCCCAGAAAATCAAGTACCTAGGAATCAGCTTAACTAAGGAAGTAAAGGACCTGTACAAAGAAAACTAATAAAAATTTTTTAAAAAAGGCTGGCCTGGGTGGAGAGGTGGGTGGGCGGGTGTTGGGAGGGAAACTGGAAACATTGGAGGTGGGCAATGTACACTGGTGGAGGGATGGGTGAACAATGATGACTGAAGCCTAATCATGAACAGCTTTGTAAGGGTCTATCTCAGATCCATTCAATGAAAAAAAAGTTTAATAGGAGAATGGCTTATATTTGGATTTATAGAATTAGATGTGTAGTACATTTTCTGAGGTAAAGTCCAGAGCTCAGCTGAGGCGCAGGGATCGTTATAGAATTGGGGAGATGTGATGCTAGACTTGAGTTTGGAAAGAGTCCATGACAGGTAGATCAGTGGTTCAAATGTGTCCTGCTTTGAGCACCACTCAACATGTCATTACTTAATTTCTTTTTTAAAAATGATTATTTCATTGACTTTAAGGGGAAACTCTGTATGGGCATTTATAAATGGCAAACAAATTTCATTTGCATTAGATGTGGAAGTGGGAAAATGCTGCAGGGAACCTGCAGAGGCCTCTCAGGGTACAGAGATGGGGGTGGGGGACAGGTCCAAGGGAACTTCCCTAGTGGCAGTTTGTGATTGAAAGGTACAGGCAGTTACTGGCCATTAGATGTTAGGGGGAGTGGTCAGCTCTTTCAGCTCACATTCTGTTTTGAACACGTCCTCCCTTCACATCTTACTGTGTAAGTTTCTTTCAAGAAAACTATCTTGCAGGATTGGAAAGGTAGTCCAGAGGGTAGGGCATTTGCCTTGTGGACAGCCAATTCAGATGTGACCCCGGGCACCGCATATGATCCCGAAGCCCCACCAGGAGTCGTCCCTGAGTACAGAGCCAGGAGTGAGGCCTGAGCAACACTGGGTATGTCCCTCCATAAATGTCCAAGTACAGCAAAAAGAGGAGAGGGAAGAGTGGGACGGGCGGTTCTGATTGCAGTGGGACTCACTGGAGCATTTGGGAATTTCACACGCCCCATTGTAAACTGGTATTCCTTTTGGGATGCAATATAGCAAAATCAATGGAAAGTTAAAATTTGTATTTTGAAAAAGATCAAAGAGGTTGGGAGATAGTAGAGCGGGAAGGGCACTTGGGCTATCTGACTTCAATCTGTGGCATCCCATAGAGTCCTTTGAGCATGGCTGGGACTGATCCCTGCTGTGGTTCCAAAACCAAAGAAGCAAACAAACAAAGAAATGTAATATATCAAAAGCTAGAACAGGTGGTAAGGTGTCTGCTTTGCATAATTCTATCCTGGATTGATTCCTGGCACCTACTATGGATCCTTGAGCACCATTAGGGGTGATCCCTGAGCACAGGACAGGAGACAGGGTCCCCAGTCAAGGGAGGTCTCATCTCTTAGGCCGCTGGAGCAAGAGCATGGGGGCCTGTGCAGGGGACAGATTGCCCAGGCGCTGCCAGCCTTGGGCCTGGGAGTCGGTGCTTGACCTCCACATCCCTCGACCCAGAGCAGGATGCCCTGGCTGCCTGTCCTCACTCCCAGCCTTGTGCCCACAGGTGGGACTGCAGGACAAACAGGTGAGTGTCTGCGGCAGCAACAGGACTGGGATCTCGGCTTCCCGCAGTAGGACGTGGCCTCTGACCAGTGTCGGTCTCTCAGAATGAGCAGGAGGAGGAGCAGGTGCTACTGCAGAGTCAGCTCCGGATCAGCTGCAAGGGGAGTGAACCAGGACAAGGTGGATATGGAGAAATGACAGAAGGTGCCGGGGGAGACCCACTGTGAGGGTTGGAGCCCGCCTGCGGTGGTGGGAGGAAGGACAGGCCAGGACGCCACCCACTATAATATATCAAAATCTAGAAAAGGCTAGAGGGGTTGTGGGTGTGTGGACTGGCCCTCACTACACACAGAGGGTCCTAGTAGCGGGGAAGCTGCCGGGTCGAGGTAGGGGTGCCTGCAGCCTAGAATGCTTCTGCTGGTACCAAAAGTAGCACACAGCTGCAACCCCACACCTGAATGCCCCACTCACATGGGCTCCAAGGTCGAGCAGGTGCTGAGGCACAATTCGCTCATGGAACCGCTGCAGCAGGTGCTAACAAGGCAGCAGGCCCTGCTGGAGGCCACCTTCAGGGAGCTGAGGGAAACCCAGGTGAGGGGGTGGCCAGGGGCTCAGGGACAGGAAGGCGCATCAGGCCCTAGACCTGCCTACTCACCTGGTGCCTTCATCTTTAGGGGATCCTCAGTCCTGAAATCAGGAGCAACTGAGCCCCAGGCCTTACTGGAATCCCAAGGGTACCCTGAAGAGGGTGAGTAGTGGGGTAGGTCTCCAGGAGGGAGAAGTTCCTGATGGGGATCTGGAGGTGGGGCTATATGGGAGGTGGAGCCATGCGGGACCCCTGAGATGCCTCCACTTTCCTTGCTTGGCTGAGACCCTGGAGTGCCCAATAGTCAATCCAGTGTCGAAGAACACGGAGTTGGAGGTGAACATAGTGGAGGTTTGTGAGACCATGACCTCTATGGAACTCGAGGTGATGGTCACGAAGGACAGGCTGGTGGCATGGGAGAAGTCTAAGTATCTGGATGACTAAGGTTTGAGACTAAGGTCTGGTGTCCAGACCTGGGGAGCGGGATGATGGAT